ATGTTTTTTATTTTCTTGTCCCCAAAGTATCTTAGTGAGGCAGGGCACAATTTTCCCCCTTTTGACTAAGAAAGAAGCTCTGCAATGATTCGAGAGGAATATAAATACAGAACTCAGCCCATCTCTGTGCATGACATCAAATGGATTCAAGAAGTAGAGGAGTACCTTCTAACCAACTCCCTCTAGGCAATGCTTCTGCTGATTCTAACCATCACAATCAACTATATGCCATGGGTCCTCAAACTAAGGCCCACGGGCCGGATGCGGCCCGCCATGCCCATTTAACCAACCCATCCCACAGGGTTTGCACTCGCAGGGCGCACTCGTGCAGCTTGCTCACGAAGAGGTCATTTTGGACTGATTGGAGAAAATGATCTCCTCGTGAGCAAGCCGGCACCTCACAGTGTGCGCCCCACCTCACCTGTGTGCACACACACCCTGCCCCCTCACAGGCCCACGCCCCCCCCCCAGCACCGCCTTGGCAGCCCATGCCCACCGCTGGCACCTGTCAACTGGCCCCCTTTAGAAATAGTCTGAGGACCCCTGCTATATGCTAAAGTCTGTAGCAAGTAACAGTGGGAAGATGCAAAGATACACTTGTGGAAGCATCATGATAATGCATCAAAACCCTAAATATTTTAATTTTTAATTGTAATAGCCCTGAAAATAAATGTCAACTGTATATCAGTCAACTCAGTGTCAGAAATGCTGAAATGCAGCAACAGGTTTACACCTTTCTAAGAAATCACGGACTGTGACTCCTGTACATCTTTTCTTTGTGCTCCAAAGCAAAAGAATTAGCAATTTATTTTTGAATCAAAGGCTAAAAAGTAGGGGAGGGGACAGAGCCCTGCAACCTTCCATCCACAGCCACAGCCCTGCTTAGACCAATACATACAGCAGAGCTTAGGTTCATACAAGTAAAATGGGGAAGTAAAATAACCTATTGTGGCTTGTTCTAAGACCATAGGGTGGTTTGCAGATCACCCCAGGCTCCACTCTTGCTGGGTTTGGTCAACATGACAAGCTGTACACAACAAAAGTAACTATGGTAATTTGGCAGTTCATATGCTGCAGGAAGAGTAGCTTACTTTCCCTTCCCTCTCATGTGAACCTACACAGAAGCTCTGCTCAGATGGTCCTCCAAAACATGGTTTGACCCAGCAATGAATCAAAAATTTCCTCTGCCCTTTCATACAGGACTTTACTTTCAGATGCTTTGGCTAACTCCAAATACTGCATACTCACTTCATTCCCCCCGCCCCATTCATTTTCAGAATGTCATTTAGTGCTAAGTATAGTTTGCACTGTGACAGCCAAATTGGCAAACTATGGCTAGCACCTGTCCTCCAAATCATGGCTTCAGCTTTTATTTAAAAGGAGAAGAAAAATGGTTCCCCAGTAGTGACAAGCTATGGTTAGCACTAACCTGAAAATGAATCTGTAAGAGAGCAGGAAGGAGGAGGGAGACTGCCTTAATCTGAAGTGTGCCAGAGTTTCTTTTTCACCATATAGAGGGGGAAGGTTACTACATTTTGTATCACTGGCACAAGAAGTGTGTGTTATACTACCAAATAAAGGGTATTTCTCACCAGCCATAATGTAAGACTCCACCGCTTATTTTTCTCAGCCACACCCAATTTGTGTTCATAATTATCTGCTTACACTCTGTGCATTACTGCAGGACATTTTCTGCATTATAAAAGTGTTCAAATCAACCCACACATGGGAAACTGTAATATAAACCCCTCCTTATTTTGCAACAATCAAAAGCTGGAATGCTAAGAAATAGCAGTTGGAAGGATACATTATCTTCTGTTGCAACAAAATGATAGGGCCTTTCAGCCACTGCCTTTGCTACTGCTACTTCCACTCAAGACAAGCAGGGGGCAAAAGAAAATGGAGAAGTAATCACTACAATAGAAGCAGGGACCTACAAGCAAGACAGGATGAGGAAATCACAAGTCATGAGGATCATGAGCAGGAGCACAAAGCATGTGTTGTTACATGCATGAACCAAAAGCTTACTGAGAAGCAAAAGTACAGGAGAACTATATGGCACAGACAGCTCTAGAAAAGAGCCAAAGAAGGGGGTTCAAGCAACCAAATGAGTGAAGGGATATGTCAAGAACCGAGTGGGGCATGAAAATGTCAAGACATGCAGGATAAGGAAGGAGTGACCAGTCTCAGCCAAGAGCCTCCTCAGGATGCATATGGAAGGGTGCCAACCCCAGCCCAAATAAACATCCACTTATAGCCATGCCTCAGGCTGTTGTTGGTGCTTTGGTACAGCTAAATCAACCAAGAATTTAAGTCTTTCCTAAAGATTTTCTTTCTGATAAAACTTTTGATAAAACTCTCAATAAAACCTTTTAATTTAGAAAATGTTCAATTCATGCGGTCTTCTGCTTCACATGACTGAAGTTAAGTATCAACTTTACTAGTCCAAATAATAGTCTTAAAACGCTTACATATGCTTACCACGGAAATACAGAAATCATGCCAACAATTCTTGACACAAATTGTTCATAAAGTATCTTGAAAACCCACTACATTTTAAATGCCTTACACTTTTGTATAAAGATATTTCAGCAACACAGATTAACAGATTGCAAAATTAGTATTCCCAATAGGTGGGAATCATTCAGAAAACATACTGAGCAGTTTCACACACCTGTGCAGCAATCTTAGCTGTTCCGGGTACTGCATGATGACTGTAAATAGAGACATTAGTATACAGCCATGCCCCTAAATGTTCAGTGAACAGGAATTCTTCCATTCACAATAATGTGTTTGCTACAAGAAATACTGGTGTAACACTAATATGTCCATGAAGTACTATGCAGCATGAAGCCCTAGTATGCTTCATAAAATACAAGGTAGTTCTCAGAAGATACATTCAATTGCTTAAATACAACTGCTATGAACAATAAAAGCAAAGTAGCTTAAACTGAGTGAGAGCAACTCTGCACTCAAGTTAAACTCACTGAGTCTGATTTCAGGATGAAAATTAAGAGACACCCTAGAGAAGTTAGGACTTTTTGATCACTAATTTCAGTAGAAAATTGTTTTCCAATTAAAGAAATGAACCTTTAAAGTTGTTAAGTTTGATTCCAAGAAAAGTCGTTAAGTTTGATTCCCAATTCATGCATGGAACAAAACTGTTGTATTAAGTACAATATCAGCATTCAAATGCTATGGCATGTAAACCTCCATGACTCAACCAAGCACCTCTCAGTGAAGTAGTAATTGCATAGAATTCAGTCAGTCTCACTTCATCAGTTTTGTTTGCAGATGCACCAACTTTACTCCAGCTGAGAAATTACCCAGCAATGACTAGAAGGTATTACAGAAAGTTGCTCAATGCTCCCCCAACTATTATGTGGTCTTTCTGCTCTTCAGTAAATGCCAGCAGTTATTTTGCTAACAGTTTTCTTTGGGTGCAACCCTATGCATGTTTAGAAGGTTTTCTCGCGGTTTTCTCGCTCTCCTTGCATAGGGCTGCATACTCTACATTCATTGAACCTGTTAACTTAGCCATGGGGGGGGGGTGATTTTCCACTTACTTTTCCTGAACAAAAGCAACGTTCTTGCAGTGTGTCTGAAGTCATTCAAAAAAAAACCATAAGCAGTATACATAAGCAGTATAAAAATGATTAGATTTTGACAGCTGTCATCCACTCATTACCTATTTAAATATACTGCCCTGAATAAACTCTTGTGTAGATGTAAGTACAAGTATTCACTGGCAGCTCACAGATTGGGAATTATACACCTGCATCTAAGGAAGTAGGAAAGCAGGGGGAACAAGTAAACAGATGTACCAGGAAATAATTGGATTTGTGTGCCTCCGTTTTCTCATTGACAACATGCACTTTCCTGCTATATAGATAATTTGCAATGTACATGAACTTTACAGTCATCTAGCACTGCTTCCACCTTTTCCAGCACAAAACAGTGCAGACAGTAGTAGATGCTGTATTGCTTCTGTGTAAATATCACAATGCACTGAATGTATTCAGAGAAGCAAAATAAATACTTGCTATTCACACAACACCCCCCCCCCACCCATTAACTGCAAACTGTCCAAGCCTTGCAACATCCGGAGCCCCACAAAGCCCTGTTCTCACAGTTAGGGACAGAAGGGTTCCAATGTTACAGCTTTCTCAAGGCCAAATCCAAACAGATGAAATTCTGAGCCCGCAGGGAAGTCAGTGAGAGTTTTACTATAGGTTTTAAGGGAGCCAGGGATTTCCCTACAGCCAACAAAATAGCTCAAGACTCATAGCTCCCAGTATCCTATTTTAAGTCTCCCTTTTAAAGGACTGAACAGAAAGTACCTATTTAACTAAAATTACTCTCTGAAATATTGGATATGATATATTGTATAGATACTGATCATACTACTGAAGAAACACTTCAAACCAATTAAAATGTTTATTGCTTTCCCTATAGCACCTGTAACTTAAATATTTTAAACGGCAGAAATCGTAATAACACCTTAAGGCAGTGAAATCCACACTTGCACAAAACGGAAAAGGATAACCACAGAACCCGTCGCCTACCCGGTGGCGGTTTTTTCCCCTTAAAGGCAAGCAACCACGCATACACACCCTAAGACTATGATGGCACATACAAAAGGGTGGGTGTGCAAATCCATAACCTTCCCTTCAACACACGCACACACCCTTCCAGATCTTTTGTACATAACACTGCACAGAGAGAAAGAGAGAGCGATGCACACGCTCCGTGTGCGTGTGTGTGCATGGCTTTTTCATAAATCTGTTACTTTCGAGCGTGCAAAGTGGGGTGGGGTTGTGAAAAGGTGGAAGGGAAGGAGGAAGGGAGGAATGCTCAGTGAAAGAGGAGGGGGATGGGGGAATAAGATGGGGACCGTATCCTTTCTGAAAAAATGCATTCGCTCTCCTCCGAAGGGCGGCTGCTATTTGCCGCTTCTGCCAATGCCGCTCCTGCCGCCGCCGGGCGCCGGGCCGTCTCACCTGGTCTACGGGTAGCCGAACGGCGTTGCTGAGAGGCTGCAGCAGCGTGGAGCCGGTGGTGCTGGTGGCCATGGCGAAGACGGCGCTTCCTCCCAACTCTGGGGCCGGCCCAAGAGCGGCGGGGAGGGGGCGAGAGGAAAGTGGAGAAGCACCAGCCACCGCTCCCCTCCCTTCTTTCCTCAGCACATCGGCAGCGGCGGCGGCGGCGGCGCAGGCAGCGCGGAGCAGCCTCGGCCCCGCGCGGCTCCGCGACAACAAGGGGGCAGCAGCTCTCGCCCGCGAAAGCGACGGCGGCGCCGCCCAATCCCAGCGTAGTGCCGGGCTGAGTGATGGGCGAAAGGACAGGAGGGCCCAATCGCGGCCCGAGCGAGGCGGGACGAGGCGGTCGCCAAGTAGCAACGCCGGCGTTCAATCCTGACACGGTTCGGGCGTTGAGTGACAAGGCGAAGCGAGCCGGGCCCAATCGCGGCGCGGCCGAGGCAGGGGGGGCGGCGCCCCTCTTCTCCAGCGAGGGCGTGGGGGCTGCCGCTGCGCTGGGGAGGGGGCGAAGTTCGGTCGGCCGGGAGAGATGGTGTCCCCGCCTCGAGCGCGTTCGGGAGGCGAGGGCGCTGATGGGCGGATCCCGGCTGCGAGTGGGAAGGCTGCCCGCGCTCGGCTACGGGGGGCGGAACAATGGACGGCGAGTGCGGCTGGACCACTGTGCCCTTTCTGGGAATACGGGGACAATAGAGACGGAGCCCCTTGAAGCGGGCGGACCACTTTGCACAGCGGGAAGCGAGGAAGGAAAGAGGCAGCGAGTGCTTTATAGCAGCCTTCTCCAACCTGGTGCCCTCCAGATGTTCTGCACGCTCCTCAAATCAGCACCGGCTTGCCTGGCCAATGGATGGGAAAACATTCTCGGAGTCAACATAACTTTTTACTCGGGTCGGGTCGCATGTTTAGCAAAACAAACATTGGTGAGTGTAATGAAACAGCCCCAGAGTGCAGTTAAAAGGTCTCAGGATCGAAGGGAAACGTGCTGCCAGATTTTTTGCATGTCTTTTTGGAAGAAATATCCGGAGAATTCAGTGTGACTTACTCCCAAATAAGCAAGCAAAGGGCATTTGCTTTTTTATTCTCTGAGGGCAAAGTGGAGTGGGGCACACCTGCCTTTGATCTGTGACTACTAGTCAGAGTATGATTTCCTTCACAACATAAGCTGTCTGTTCCAACTTCAGAGAGAGAGGTCTCTTAACCATTTGAACAGTGCCATCACTTCTAAGGCAGAATTCAGGCAACACAAACCTATGCATACACAGAAGTTTGTCCCATTGGGTTCAAAAGATCTTATTCCCAAGGAATTGGTTTACAGTGTAAACTTAACCAAGATCACTCTACCACAGAGACATCCCAACCAAAACCATAAGGGCACTGGATTCCTTCCACTGAGTCAGAATAGGTACAGCTCCAGCAGCAACTCCTGCCATTCCCTCCCTGGAATAACTGAGCTCACAAAGTACTGCAAGTCAGCATTCACAGCACACCACTGCCTATACCTGGCCTCACGTCCAGGACACAGAACTAACACATTTTCCATAGAACTATGGAAAAGGACACTTTGCAACATGCAGGAGAGCACCCTGTACTCGGGGATCTTGGCACAAAAATCCCTCCTCACCGCAGAAATGAGAGTCCCATGAACTATGTTAAAATCTCCCTTTGTTAATCGACCTACCTAGGATTGCAGGCATCAGCTCTGGATACCTGCAACTGGGACTGGGATTGTCTGCCCAGAATTCCCTACCCAGGTAAAGCAGAGAAAGGGAGAGGAGAGATAATGCCAGGATTACTTGCCGAAATGGCCTTGTCTTCCAGAGGTCAAGACCTGGCCTTGAAAGAGATGGATAAGATGCTAACAGAGGGAAATACTGAAGTGGTCTGCCTTGCAGCCAGCAACTCTCTTTCTACTCTATCTTTCCCATCTCTTCCACCAGCGGATGAACGCAGTTTCTGCAGATATATACCTCGCTGCTACAAAATAGAAACAGGGCAGAGCTCCCAGCTCCCAAGAGGTGAGAAACAGCATCACATTCTGCCATGCCTCGCTGCTGAGGCCTCCACTGTTCCCCTTCCCATGTGCATTTACACTCTTCTTCTGGAATTGCACTTCAGTCATCCTGTTTGTTCTTGCTGCAGCCTCCAGAAAAGTGTGTGCCTTCTTGTGTGGCCTTCTGTGATGCACAACCATGGGTAACCATCCACATCCAAACCCTGTGGCTAGGTCCTCTTCTCCCCCACTGTGCCCCGTCAACTGTTTGCCTCAGCTACATAATGCTTTCTCCCAGGGAGCTGGTCCTTGGACAGAAGGAAGTTCTTGAGGTTAAGGATGATGGTATCAAGGAAGTGCAGGAAAGAAATGCTGGCAGCATGTACTTTGATGCCAGAACTGGCTCCAGAGAGGGACTCAGAGGTGATGGAGGAGTGACAATGAGAAGTGTTGTCACCCTGGAGAAAAGTAGCACATGCTGTCACCATTATCCTACAGGGCTTGTGCCCATCAGTGGATGGAGGCTTTCAGATGGTATGCAGTGCATACAAATGATGGAAACAACTGATTTGTGTATTTTATTTGTTGTTAGGCATTTAGAAGATTTGGGGCCCAGGCCCACAGGACACAAATGTACATAAAGTCTGCATGCATTCCTTTATATCTGCAAATTTTAAAAGGATTACAATAAATTATTTAAATATGACTGTTTAAGGCAATTTTCATCCAAGTCATTCCAAATCAAATAAATTCTTACATTAATGTGCATCCTGTCCTAGAATATCTCAAACAAATTGGAAACAGATTTTCTAAGTTTAATTGATTGAGGTGGAGGTGGTGGGAAAGGAGTTGCAGCATGTAGGGTTGAACTCTTGAAAACATGAAAAGGCTGAGAAAAAGACCTGTTGAAGCCTTTTAGAACAGATCTGATGCCTACAGGCTCAGGCATAAGGTATCCAGGCATCCCTGGATCTCACCTTTCCAAAAAGTTCAAGGTTGCAAACAAAGGCACAAATAAAATACAGTACAGAAATTAAAAATGTACCTATAGTACTACAATCAAAACTCTGAAACAGAAATACAATCCAAACTCTTACTCTGCAATCTTCTATGCATTTACCTGGAAGTAAGTCTCCGATCAACCCAGCAAGACTTCTGAGTAAGACATTCATAGTATTGTGCTTTTAAAAGAAAAAAGCCACACACCTAGAGAGAGAAGCTGAAGCAAGGGGAGGAGGGAAGCAATAAAACCCAGTTAAGTCATTAGCAATGAAAAGCTCTCCTAAGAAGGAAGGTGTACACTGTGCTGGTCAAGATGAAGTATGTGTAATTTGAAGTTGTACCTGCTTACCATGGAAATCCAGCATTATTAGAAGAAGCACAAAAGGAAGAAAAATAGAACAAGACACAGAAAAAAGACATTATTCAGAGAAAGATACGAAGAATAATCATATAGTTCTGTTCAAGAACAAAATTCTTCAATCTCTGTAATTCAAAAACTAGTAGGACACATCCTACCAAACAGTTCAATCGTATTCCTGAGTTATACTTACTATCCCTTCTCCATTTTTCCAGATTTGATTGCTTCATTTCAAGTGGCTTTTCCTGTTTAAAAAGTGTGCTTGAATAATAACATGCACAACTTCTGCTAATGTCTGGTTGGGCTCTACATCTGCATAGACTTGAACTGTATCCTGACTCCTTGCCCAGATGACATGCCTTCCTTCCCATGTCAAGCTTTCATTTTGTCTTCTGTTTGGTTTCCAGTGTATCTGTTTGGTTGGACACAAATAGTTGGATTCGAAATAGCTTTTCTGAGGCCCAAAGCAATAACAACAGGAACATCATTTAATCATAAGAAGCTTCTTTTTTCTTAATAGCTTTGAACCACCCAAAAGGTTGATATATTCCAAAAATTTAAGGGTTTTGGTCTCACATGCCTGCAAAGGTTGAACTAGTTTGGGTGTAAATTGATACACTTGTAGAGATGTTTATTCATGCACATGTGACACACAACTGGCATGTTTCTTATGAAAACACAAATCTGCTGCCTTCATTGTACACTTCAATGTGGAAGAAAGAGCAGCTATAAATTTTAATGATTCAGAGCCTATTTCAGTGTCTTCCACAAAGTATTTCCTGAAAGATGTTCCAAGTGGCGTGGTACATGATTGCTTCCACACTTAGCAGTATGCCCACACACCAGCATTAGGATAATAATCACATGCAGCTAGCAGTATGCATTTTCTTTGGTTTCTCTTGCAAATGTTCACTTTCTGAACATCAAAACACAGAATGCTGAATCAGCCCACAGCGATTTCATAGTGGCACTCTTGTTTCAGCTAAGGGAGAAAACAGCAATGCTTTTCAGCAATCCCAATTGTGTTTTAACTTCAAAATATTTGCCAAAATAAGAACTAGATAGAATGTTTAGGCATCATATAATAATTTGTTCAATTCACTACATGAAAAGGCTTGCTCAACATTTGGCCTTCCTATGTTTGATTATGCATTCAAAGTTTTGGCTTCCCTAAGGTGCTATCGTTTGTTTAAATACACATCTAAATGCATTTTAAAGCGCACTTACTACAAGTCAGCTACAGCAAATGCTATGTATTTAGGACGTATTTTAAAGAATCCAGATCCTCAGGAAAATAGTTCTACCTCAAGGGCATAATTAAAAACAAACAGGATATAAGATGGGCTTTTATAAAACTACAGGCAAATAGGCACTGCTTAGTTTTTTGTTTTTTGTTTCTAAAGAAGAGAAAATAAAAACTTCCACTGGCTTCTTCCAATGTTGTTATATGCTGTCATCTCCAACTTAATGGCGACCCTATGAAAGAAAGCTCTCCAAAATGTCATGTCCGTGACCGCCCTGTTTAGCTGTTCTAAATTCAAGACTGTGGCTTCCTCTGCAAAATCAGTTCATCTCTTACTTGGTCTTCCTTGACTTTCCCTAGCAAGACAAGTATGGTGTTGCGGAAATATACTTTTCAGGAAGCAAAGATGGCACTTCTACTACTACTGCACATTTTTGGCCTTCTCCAAGAGTTGAAAGGGATAGTTTTTACACTGGAGTTGAAGGGAATATCT